AAACTACCCGACACGCCCGGAATTGCGGGAGGTAGTCTGATGTAAGTGAAGTTTTTTTTTTGTTGCACTACTTATGATTGCCAGTGTAGACAGTATATTCAATTATATATACTGTAAGTATTAATTAACCAATAAAAATTTATTAATATTTTGTCTTTAAACATGAATAAATTTTGATTCAGATGTTTGTTTTGGATGATTTAACTACCAAAATGGCCAGCTTAATGAGACGATTCTAACGAGCCTAAAATCGTTAAAATCCAATCACAGGATCACAAGATCATTAACGATATAAAGTAATACAAATCGTTAACAATCCTGTGATTGGATTTTAACGATTTTGGGCTTGCTGAATCGTCTCAGTGAGTTAATTATTTTGGTAGTTAAATAATCTAAAACAGTTCACTATATCAAAAGTCATTTATATTTAGATTTAATTTCTTTAAATATTTATTATGCAATTAAGTTGTATATTATTAATAAAAAATAATTTTTTTATGCATTATGCATAAAGAAATTATGCATTTGTGATTAGTAACCATGTTGGGAAATGAAAATTGAACAGTGTATGCATTTAGTCAGTATCGACTGTATTTGAGTTATAAGCATTTTTATATTTAAAAAGTAGTTGTTTTGTTATATACTGTTGAACCTCTCAAAACCGATCCTGTCAAAATCGATAACCTGTCAAATCTGAAAAAAATTAATCTACCAAGTCTGTTTCCGTTATATAAACCTAATAGATTATAATGTTTTCAAATCCGATACTCTCAATATTGATACAAAACCTATCCACCATGCATATCGGTTTTGAGAGGTTCAACAGTATTATATATATAGTACTTATTGCTGATTAATGGATACTTATTAGGAGCCAATAGAGCTATCAGTAAGTTAATATATAATAGAACTATCATATATCTGATAACTTATTTCAACATGTGATACTTGTTTTTAGTCATGATCACAGGCCGGGTGTCTGATTTTAAGCTGACTACTACCCAATTGATGTCAATTTTGTTGCAACAAAAATCGACATCAATCGGGTAGTAATCAGCTTAAAAGACACCCGGTCTGTACCCGATTTGCCATCATTCAACCTGTGAATTTCAGTTCTGTTTTCCTAGTTATTAAAAACGATAATAGACAAAAAGGTTGTCTTTTTTAAAATCTTTAATAACCAAACCTAGTCAATTTTTTAAAGAGTTAGCTAGTTTAATCTGCTAATTTGACTTATCAATTACAATTTCTAGGTTAATATCCTAGAATAAAACACTAGTAAAATCAAAAATATTAGTAAAATATTTAGGTCTGATATATAATTTACAGTGTATGTAACTTATTTGTAACTTAAACTTTATAATTTTTAATAAGCCAATGTAAGCTAGTTTTAGGTTACATATAAGTTACATATAAGTTATATATCAGGTATTGATATTTTATTTTTGACTTTAACTAGTGAAATATAGTATAGGTGACACTTTAGTGAATAATCAACAGGTTTAAAGTAAGTGTTACCTATATTATATTGATCTCCAATCATCTTGTGAATATTGTGGAATTCGCTTATATTTTTATATACTGTACCACATAGCATAATTGAGTAATAAATTTAGATTAACTATAAGCACCAATATATTGTTATTTTCTAGTTTATTAAGAATCACAAATTTTGTAAATTTAGTATATAACACAAATAATTTAATATTATTTAACAATTCATGATTAAGCATTTTAAAAAAACCAGAGTTTTGGACCTCCTAACATCACATTTTTTGCGTTATAAGAGCAAGGTCAGACTAATATATTCCAAATCAAATTAATAAAGATTATTAAAAAAAGAGCTGGCATTTATTTCTATTTAAACTATGATAGATGAAAATTTCTAGCTAATGTGATAATAGATGAAAATGGTGGTAAAGGTGCATCATATTTACTATGCTGTGTTTTCTCGCGTAATGTGTGATGAAATTAAAAGAAACCAAACATAATAGCAATACCACCAATTATACCGCCCATTTGGGAAACACTCAACGAATATAGGCTGGAGCTACCGGACTTACTGGGGCTAGTGGTGGAGTCAGAACCCCCACCATACTGGCGTTTTTCGTTCATAACTTCAGACTCTGCCATCGAGGTAAGAGAAATCATGAGCACCAAAGCGATGACCAAAATTACGAGCGTTGAGGTCTTCATTTTAATGATTTTTTTTTGAAATAAAAATATAGCTTTTTTTTTTTGTCAATTGTTTGCAAAAGCTTCAGTAAATTTGAAGTGTACGGCGCAAAAATTTTTCTCGAAATTTATATACAATTTTGGATCTACTTGAAACATATATATATATACGAATACGGTAACTGATATGATATCTGATCACTGTTTCATGAAAAGCTCGATAATTCTTTACCAATTATGGCAAAGATATATTTGTACATGTTAATTAACATTGGAATTGATCATAATATTTATAAATGAGCTTGCTTAGACCGGTTGATCTGTGCCTCAAATTGATGTTAGCACTGTTTCAAATCTTATGAATATAGTCAAGTTTCAAACTATCGTTACGGGCTAATCTACTAACTTTGGCGATAAAGCATTATCGGTCAAGAGGTGCATGCGTATGTACGCACGATTTGATCGAGTATTACTTTATTGAATCATACTGCATCAAAAGTCGAAACAAAACGGATTATTATCATTTTACAATTGGGAAATTACTTGTCTTTTTTAGGGCTTTGCAATTTACGAAATTTATTTTCGATTTTCTAATTCATAACGAATCATCGGGCCCATCCATCAAGCTATGCTTAAATTATCCAGCATATTATTATGTGCATGCAGTACATGCTCATTTGTATATTGTACAATGCATCATATTTATATATTATGTAACAACTTATTGACACGGGATTCCAGGCACTGTGCAATAAGATAGTTATTATACTATTATATGAGTAGGCTCAAGCATCGATCTACTTGTCCGGATAGATTTCACCGGGTTTCTCCTTTTATGGTCAGATTGAGTTTCCAAA